CCTTAGCTCTTCCATTTTTTCAAAGGAACATTCATCATAGACAGAAATGATTGATTTCTACATAACTGCATGCACTTACTTTTTTCTATTCCACTTCACGCATTCTATATGAGTTTACCAAAACTTATGTGATTTAATTCAAAATTGAATTGAATTAAATAGAATTAAGTAAAATAAAATTAAATTAAAATTGAATTGCGTTCACGGTGCTGAAATATTAAATTAATCACACAGAAATACACATCTAGTTATTTTAACTGTTTGAAGTTAATTATTTTGATACAGCATGTAAACATTTTTGAAATATTTCTATCATTGGTAAAAATATGGTAACATAATTAAATATTTAACTTTTTGTAAAATAAAAGGTAGGTGGGTTAGTACTGAGATTTACTTTCAAAGTGTCCCTGCCTGGGAAACATGGGGGAAACTACACATTGGTGGCTTTCATGTCGGGAATCTGTATGGAAACCACTGAGGCATGTTTACATGGTTTCCTATCTTGGGAAACTTACGGGAAACCACAGGTTGGTTTTTCCATATCGGGAATCTACATGGAAACCACCGGGGCATGTTTCCATGGTTTCCTATCTTGGGAAACTTACGGGAAACCACAGGTTGATTGTTTCCATGTCGGGAATCTATGTGGAAACCACCGGGGTATGTTTCCATGGTTTCCTATCTTGGGAAACTTACGGGAAACCACAGGTTGATTGTTTCCATGTCGGGAATCTATGTGGAAACCACTATGTGGTTTCCATAAAATGGAAACTATATGGAAACTACTGATGTCACGATTCCCATATGTTTCCATCGGGTTTCCAAATTTGGGAAACCTGGCTTTTCATCCTGTGAATTCGTCCGTCACTCCATAGTTCCGTCCATACATACATACGTACATAAATACATACACCCAAAAAAAGCGTGCAAAAGAAAAACGTCCTTAACCTCTTGATGAGACGTGCTCATAAAACCACTCTAATGAGTTCAAAGAAGAAGTTTTAAGTAAATACCTAAAGTGTTCCGTAGTTCTTATATTTTCATTTTCCTTAACAATCTTTTCTAAAGACTTTCGGAATTGATTAAACTCCTGAGTTGCAGTTTCCTTTTGATATACCTAAAATATAAAAAAGAAAGGATTGTATTTTACAGTTGTATTCTTTTTTTAAGTTTAAATAAATTGGTTTTTAGTGTATTTGAATATACATGTACGAGTGTTATTTTAAACGTACTTGAACAATGACATTTTTACCAAATAAAAATGAATGGTTCAATTAAATACCAAAATATTATCTAAGAAATCCAAGTCAGAATAGCTTGGAATGCATTGTTTGAAAATATTTTTGTAAAATTCCTGGTCATTAAAGGTCGCCGATAGTGATAGTTTCTTGAAGTTAATAAACAAAATAACAGCAAAAATAATCTAAAAATAATTTTAAACCAAATTTCAATATATTTGCATATTTTAGATGATCTACTATTGATAAAAGAAGTAGTCTTGTCTAATAAACAGGAATTCAGTACTATAATATCTTACATCTGTTAGATTCATTCTGAAGATATTTTCTTTCCTAACTGAAGGCCACTGTCTAAGAATCCTCTCTGATAATTTTTTCCAAGTTTTTTCGACCTCGTCTTCATCGCTGCTGTCATCTGGATCTTTCTTTATGGAATCCCATTTATTTGTTATGAAGATGACACTTCGTTGATCAAAGCAAGGCATTTCGTCATCCATTTGCAAGTTGGTAATGGCTTTTAATATTTCTGGAAGCTATGAAACATTTTAGTGCAATCGTTGTTTCTTTTGTTTTAACATATATATCTAATAATCTATTTAAATGATGGAAGAGAAACCTAGTACTGTAAAACGAGAAAATTTGGCACATACATATTTTAGCGCAAACGCAAGTGGGAATGCATTAGCGCAAATAAATTTTAGCGCTTGCACATGTCAATAAAATATTTATACGTATTTTATATTTCATTTTTTTTAATCCACACCCGTATTTGATTTTATGGTTAGTCGAGCACGGAAACACATAAGTACTACCGTATATAAGTAAACATTCGTAAACTTTACCGCGGTACGTGTTCCTGTCACATGGACGTGACACAATGTTAAATATTTATTTTATTTCTATTTTCTATTAAAAGAAATGGAGAATTTACTCATTTAAAATCATATTAAAACAATGCATGCATCGACAGAAAATTACTTCGATAAAACGGTAATCCTAATCAGGTATTGTCTGCGCATAGCGCATGCGTGAGGAAGGGGGGCAGCTTTAAAAATCGCAGAGAAAATTTACTCGAATTTAATACAATATACATCGTGGTTTGTATATAAGATCACCTGGATTTGTTGTTTAAACGTGTAGTAATGTGTGTGGAAACCTATCTGAGACATAGCACTGCGAAATGCCTAGAAAAGGGAAAAGGAAAGTTCATGTGAGTAGTACTCAATCATTGCATGTTCCTAGTATCCATGATATGGAGAGTCAATTGAGTAACAGTAATAGTAGTATCAGCCTTAGTGCACCAACGGCAGTTGCATCTACACCAACTGCAAACTTTCAAAACAACTGTCAAGGAAATAATTTTCAAGGAAATCAGTTCGTCCCCTATGGGCCCCCGGGACCACAGAGTCAATTTGCTGGGTACTTATCCCCTATACCACCAGTACAAAACCCCTCACAACACCAATATCAGCACGTTGATATTCTTGAGACTTTGAAAGTCATGTCGAATCGATTAGAACAAGTATCTACTAAACTAAACAAATTAGATCATATTGAAAGGAGACTCAATGAACTGGAACGGAATGTCAACACAGAGTTAAAAGAAATGAAGGGCAAGGTCAACGGGGTGGAAGAGTGTGTGACACATATTAGTAAACAGTATGATGACCAAACGAGGGAAGTCAAAGAAATGAAGAAATCTGTTAGTAACATAAGGAACGAAAATGAAATGATCTTGAATGAATTAGAAATGGTGAGGAATGGTATACCGGAGACTGAAGAGGAAAATACAGAAGAAGTACTGAAAGAGTTCATACGTGCAGAAATGAATATCACAGAAGTTCCACAGTTCCACAGGGTACACCGAATGGGGAAGATACTACCGGATAAACACAGACCAATCGTCGCAAAGTTCGTGCTGCATAAAGAAAGAGAAATAGTGAGAAAGGCCGCCCCATCAAGCCTAGAGGCGTTAACGAGCAATTTCCTAGGGAAATTAACGAGCGCAGGAAAGTTCTATATCCCCACTACAAAAAAGCGAAACAACAAGGGAAGAAGGCTGTGATGATCGTGGACAAACTTATCATAGATAGCAAATGATTCTTTCCACCAACTGGTAAATTCGTGGCTGATCCAGGCTCCAATAAAGTTCCTATGTAGGTAAACCACGGAGAGCAACAACAAATAATTATTAATGAAAGTAAAAACTCAAGTAACTCTCTCAGATCAAAAGACACTTTGAATGTAAGATTGGTATCCATTTATATCTGTGGGTTTTCGCAGAGGTATGGGTACAACAGACCATATTTTTTTATTATACTCTCTTATAGAACTTTTCAAAAGACACAAAATGAAACTGTACTGTGCATTTATTGATTTTGAGAAAGCATTTGATTCGGTTTGGCACATTGGTTTATGGAATAAAATTCTACAAAATAATATTGATGGAAAATGTTTTAAGATTATAACCAACATGTATAAAGGTATAAAATCAAAAGTAGTAGTGAATGGAATAAGTTCAGAAATGTTTGAATGTAATATAGGAGTTCGACAAGGGGAGAATTTGTCACCATTTTTATTTTCATTGTACTTGAATGACCTTGAGGAATTTTTATCTGGAAACAAAGCTAAAGGTTTATCTTGTCATGAGAGAACTAAATCTCTACTTAAAGCTTTTTGTATTATTATATGCTGATGATACTATTTTGTTATCTGAAAACCCAGATGATTTTCAGTACATGCTTAATATTTTTTCTAAATATTGCAAGAAATGGCATCTTAAGGTTAATAGTAAGAAAACAAAAGTCGTAATATTTGGTAAAGGGAAAAATAATGTCCCTTTTACATTTGAAGGCTCCAAGCTTGATATAGTTGATAACTTTAAAGCCGCTTCATCCGAAACAGGCACATATTATCTTAAACAATAAAAGTATGTCATTACATAGATAATATATAAAAATTAATTATAAGATTGATTTAATAGTTTGATACAACAATCCCTACATGGAAAACATGGACCAAAAACCTTGTTGACAAACAGCAGTTCCTGACGGGAAGTTAAGATCTGTTTTGAAGTCACCTTTGAAAAAAATACTTTTATCGGTTATATCTAATTATGAAGAGAATTCAAACCCGAGTATTTTTTTTCCATTAGTAGAATCCTAAGACATGATATATCTTTTAAAAGTTAAGAAATTAACTGAATATAATCCATAGTAATTTATATATTAATATGCATATTTACAGAATAAAGGAAAATCAGATATATTTACAGATTTTTTAAAAAGGGAGTTTAGTAACGAGGGCTAGAATATTGCCCGTGTACACTTTGTTATGGAAAAAATGCTCGGGTTTGTTCTTCATGAGTTATACATGTAAGCGATAAATTTAATTTTTCAAAGGTGATTTCTCGCAATGTAAACAAAGGATTATTTGTTGTGTGACCTAACAAAAATTATTTTTTTTAACTTTTGAATTTTTTTCATCTTTAAGTTGAAATAATTTATGGACAATTATTTTTCAAGAAGAAAAACGAATATCTTTTTTTAGCGATTAGAATCGGACCAAGCGGCTTTAAATAGTTGGGTGTTACATTTTGTAAAAGTAATTCTTTTAAGTTAAATACTAAAGAATTATATGATAAAGCTACTAAAGCTATGTATGGTGTTATTGGTAGATGTAGAAAACATAACTTATCAATTGATTGTAAGTTAGACATGTTTGATAAAATTGTCAAACCAATACTCTTATATGGGTGTGAAATATGGGGTTTTCACAATACTAAACTGATAGAGAAATTACACTTAAAATTTTGTAAACATATTCTGAGCCTGAAAACATCAACACCAAACTTTATGGTGTATGGAGAACTTGGTAGACACCCTTTATTAATTGATATCAAAGTTAGAATGATCTCATTTTGGGGTAAACTCATTAATGCTCAGTGCTCTAAATTATCAGCAAAGCTTTTATGTGCATTGAAATTATATAAGAATCCATGGTGTGACTTTGTACAGAAAATTTTAAATGAATGTGGATTGACTTATGTCTTGTATGAAAATTCATTTAATATATCTTGGCTTAGAAATAAAGTATATACCATTCTTTTAGATCAGTTTAAACAAACATGGTTTAGTGAAGTGCAAACTTCCCCTAAAGGTTTGAACTATAGAATCCTTAAAAAATCATTAATTTTTGAAGACTATTTGTTGAATTTGCCTCCAAAACAATCCAAGAAATATTGTTTATTTAGATCTGGGAATACAAAATTACCCATTGAAACTAGTAGATGGTTTAACATCCCTAGAGAAAACAGAATTTGTAAATTATGTAATAGCAGTGACATTGGGGATGAATTTCACTACTTATTTAAATGCACTGATGTGTCTATAAAGAACTCAAGAGTCATGTATTTGTCAAAATATTTTTATTTGAATCCAAATATTTTGAAATTTGAAATGCTTTTGAATGTAACCAATACTAACCAACTCTGCACGATTTGTAAATTATTAGATATTATAATTGAGAGAGTTAGCTCTCTTGGTTGATATTACTCTGTTATCCTTTCTTCATGCATGTAATATTTCATGTTCATTGTACTGTATATATCTTCTCTTCACTGTTTTGTCAGTTATGAGAATAAAGTTCAAGTTCAAGCAAGCTCAATCGCCATGCTTGATTGCATTGTTTACCTGGGGGAGGCGATAGATGGTTGACACGCCGAGAAGCCAAACTTTGAAGGTGCTAATGATAATAACTACTACTGGGGTAACAATAGTTCAAGTAAATTATAATTTGGGAAGAACTTTTCTGTATTTCCGAACATGTGCAGTACTGTCTACTGTGTATATAAATTCCAATGACCCTTCGACATTACGTAATCGGGCGTTCCGGTTTACATGTACTTATGTAAAAGCTTTAAACACGCACAAAAATGATATTTAGAAATCCTTTAGTGCACAATAAATTTTAGCGCTCAGGGAGTCTTGCGCCAAAGGCGCTAAAATTAATAGTGCGCCAAATATTCTCGTTTTCCAGTATGTGACTTTTGTTTACATTACTGATTCTATATCTATGAAATTAAAATGATTGAAATTTAATTTCTAAATTTCTTTCGCAGTAAGTAGATGAATATAAAATGATATTACATGTACAGTTATTTTAAAAAAATCGACAAGCGAAATAAAGTTTTAGAAAGAAAAATAAATCACAAACATAACAAACAGAAATTAAGCTAAAAGATCCATTGCCAAAGCCCAAGAAATCTAAGGCATCAGACCAATGAGATAGAGTTGTTTGTGAAAACGACACTGTTATATGTATTTCTTTAATTTTGTAAAAAATATTCGTGGATCTTTAACTACAGAAAATGTAAATGTGTATTAGTTTTGTACTGATCGTTTAGTAAATTTTATTCAATTTATTTAAAATTTTTCAACGTGAAAAATTTTTGTTTTGTTTTTTTTTACATTCAGAGATATCGTACGATTCTTAAATCAGTTAACAATTTTTAATTTATTATTTGTTGTTTCGATCTATCACATTAAACTTGACATTAAAGAACTTACAGATTTCTATTAATAAGTTCAATATTTGCAAGTTTTGCAAGTAAATAAAAAATGACGGCAAAATAACAATTTATTATTATGACAATTCCTACATCTTCAACTTCCATGATATACAAACAAAATACTTTAGCAAAATGTCATTTTAACGTTCATATTTACTCCAAGAAAAAAAGATTTGCAAGATCAAACTCTACGAATAAATGCTGCTAATTACAATTTCTTCTTCGAAGCCTGCTCTGAAAATAAGTCGTGGTACAAAGGCATTAACAATCATGTATAAAGGCAACTTTTTGCAAGATCTTAGTACAATAACTGTTGCAAAAACAATCGATCGATGGGTCAAAGGATGCTTTTCTTAAGAAATTTTAGTTTATTTTTATCACACATTTTCCTCTGTATTTTACGTTTACACACACATGGCTATGGGCAAGCTCCATCAAACCTAATTCAAGCTCTTTATAAAAGGTCTATGCATACATTCCTCAGAAATGGTATAATTCTATCGGATATTCAGCATAATTGGTGCTCGTTTCATTCATTTTCAAAATAACTTTTTTTTTCAAATGCATATAGCATAATGTCCAAATCAATTTCTAAAGAGTCCTTTCACGGTAACTAAGGTAGTACTCTACTGCACGGTAAATTAATAACGTTAAGCGAAGTTTTGTTGATAGATAATTTAATGACGTTTTTTAAACAATTGCTTTAACGTCATATTTCACCAAAATATATCATTTTGTAAATGAGTTGTACAAGTACAGTAGTTATGGTGAAAGGGTCTATTAATACTTAATTTGAATTACTCTGTCTCTTTGCATCCCTCCTGCACTTGCCACATTGATCACAAATATGAAAGAAACAGCATTTGGCAAGTATTCCATTAACTTTTGACTGACTTTTCCAGAGCCTCCGATTCCTGGTGTATCAACCATTATTGTGTTACCCTGGGAGATGATATTGAATTGAATATTATTTGCGTTTAAATTGTATTAAATATAAAATAATAAAAACAAGGTCTTGTCATTTCCAAACGTAAAAATATCTTTTGATACATTATTATAAATACCTTTAAAAAGGGTACTGGTAATCCAATATCAACACTTTTATACTTTCTACTGTCTTTTTCAATGGTCATATCTGTAAGATTCTTCAGTGTATCTCGAAGAGTTTTTTCCCCTTTCCTTGTTAGTACATCAATGTCACTCATATCTCTGCGCTCAACCTCACCATTTTCTAACTCAGTTTTTATCATAACTTTGTCAGAGTTTCGTATTTTGCAGACTGTTGATGTAGATTCCATGTTTCTTCCTTTAAAAATTCTCATTTCTAGTATTTTATTAATAAGGGTGGATTTTCCCGCGCTTGTTTTCTCCTGTTAAGAGAATTTCAAACCTCACTTAAAAGAACTTTAATTGTATTCTTTTAAGTGAGGTTAATGAAAATGTTTGATGAGATCAATCTAAAGCCCTGCATGTATCATTTTCCTTCAAATTATACCAAAAACTTATTAGCATTAATTTTATTACATGACTTTCTTTAAGTTTCAGAATGCATTAACAAAAACATAAATAAAACAATTATATTTTAGCACTTCTAGTGATTTTCAAAATGATTTTTGCTAGAAGCACTGCCATTCAGGAATCCAACACTAATGTCACTTATTGTACTTTGATATTTGAAACAAAGCTAAAATGTACCTGCTACAACAATGCCATGATCTGATCTCAAAATATCCTTCTGTCCTTAGCAATAGACGTCTTATAATCTGGGGATGCTTTTTCCAGGCATTGTCTTAGGTTTGTGTCGTATTCCTCACTTTCAATGATCTCCATTAAGTCATCAAACATTGTCAGTATTTTCTCTGAATATCGTTGTTACTCCTGGTAAGTCTTTTTTTAATTAATTGACTACATTTTGAAGAAAAAAGATAAACCAATTAAGTTATACACTTCCGTTGCAAGATATTACGAAGGGAAAAAACCTTAGCATGCTTTGTATGGAAAGGTGGCGATATTATTTTTTTCTGCCTGCTGTGAAAATGAAATCTTTGTGCTAATATCCTTGAATCATTATAAGATGTCGATATAGGTGATATTGTGCAGCATAACTTTCACTCTTACTGCATATAACTTAATTTAAGTGCAACTGAGTCGTTAAAAAGATATGTCACACAGCAGGAGTAAGTAACTTTGAAAATTATAATTTAGAAAATGCACTCAGTTCTTCAAATGAAACCGTTCTGAATGGGCCACAACGCTCACATTATTTACATGCATGTTCTCTGCAAAAGAGGGGTTAAGCATGTGACCGTATGGGTGTACGTGTATCTAAGGAAATCCCCTAATTTACTACGTTATCACTTTTTCTGACAATGATATTCTACAGGTTGTATACAACGCGTAGATTCAAAAGTACACGGAGGTGAGAACTTGTACTTCTCAAAATCAAAGTATATATTATATTATTTTCAGGTGGTATTTGGTACGAAGTTAAGAGTTTATTCAATAAATCTTACAAGTCTTTTTAAATGAAAGTCATAGAACTATTTGATACAAATGGATTGTAAAGTGACTTGCTGAAATGTTGTTTTACACGTACCGTACACGTGAGGTTTTGTAGAACAGAAAACGATATTGGGTACCCATACTTGTAAAACACGTCTAGGTTTACACGTTCAAGTAGACGTAAACATTCAAATGCTTAAATTATCTAATATTTAAAAAAATAACGTACACTACAATTCAAACATAATGTATGTTGAATTGATGTCAAAGCTTCGAATCACATAATTATACATTTTCCCGAGTGCCAATAGTAATATTACCTAGCCGGCGACACAAAATTCTCGAATGCATATAATTGTAAATATACTTTTGATTTATAGAATTAGAGATGGGATCCATTTTTGCAGGAAAACAAAATAAAAATATTTTGTTTCAAAAGACCTATTCGTTAACGAGAAACATATTTGAAGGAACAAAAACTCTATTTCTTATTTCAGGAAAAGAATGATTGTACAGCTTCAAACCCCCTTACACATTAAAGCATTATTGGTTTTGTGAAATCCAAATAAATATTAAATTAATAAAACTTCAACATGTTCAATGCGTGGATACAAAATCCTTTTTCTGATACTTGCCAATGAAATCCTTGATATGTTTTTGGTGGTAACTTTGGTGCAAGTTGGTTTACAGGAGATTTAGTAAAAATGGGTTGTGTAGATAATGTCGGTGGCTCTATTGAATGTGTCAGTCTTTTTTCCTGTATTTCCCCCGATGTATGTTGTTGAAAGTCAGACCTAGTAGAAAGTTGGAAGCTGAATTTGATAAACATGGTTTAATTGGTAAAATGGTAGCTTAGTTGAACTGATTATGAAATGATTGGATAGAGTATTGGAAATGTTGATCCTATGAAATTCGTTCAATATAACAGAGCGGAGATGATTAGTCTATCATCAATACATTTCAGATCTACATGTAAGAAGAAATACATAAGTCAGTTAACATGACCTTAAGTACAAAGCGATAAATGACTGGAAGGGGCTGACATTCCATGTTACAGTCCCTGAAACGTTCTACTTTCCCATTTTTCCGTTCGCTCACCGTTCGTTCAGCGTGCATTCACCGTTCGCTCTCCGTTCACAGTATTACGTTCACCATTCACCGTGCGCACGCGTTCACCGTTCACAAAACGTTCACCGTTCGCTCTTCGTTCCGTTTACTTTGCGTTCACCTTGCGTTCACCTTGCGTTCACCGTTCATTTAACGTTCAGTCTTTCTTGTCATTCGGAACTCCGAAGTGAAAGGACTTATCTTTTTGATGGTAAGGATTTACACGTTTTTTAATTCAATAACTTAGATATCGTGTTTAAAAAAATAATTATTTCATTGCAAAAATTATCTATGGTATTTATATTTTTATATTGTCATAACTCAGCTGTTACTTTATTCATGAAATTTCCCTGGAAAATAATACATTAAGTACCTACTGTACATTTATGTAGAACGATGCTAAAATATTAAATTTAAAAAAAG